GATATGAACTCTGCAGGGATTGGGGCCCAGTATTAGTAATCTAATTTCAATAAATAACAGCTTAATAATGAACAGGGAAAAGTGAATCTGCCAATTCGATGAAAACACAATCATGTATAATCCTTTACTGATAACCACACCTATCCCTGGAATATTCTTTACTTAGTTCAAGAAAGAAGGAAATGAACTTGGATTTCTAAGGTAAGAGGAGCTCATTAAGGTTGGTAAAAAGAATAGTACACCTTCATTTAAAGCATTAGAAAGAGGCCATTAACTGATAACAGTATCTTGAGTCCTATCTAAAGTTAGTGCTTCCCACACATTCTTCCATAGCCCCTACAGACTGATCCTCATCTTTAATGGTGCCCTTTATCACTCCTGGGGCAAAGAAGGGAAGCCATCCACTTCTTTCTTCTGAGAAAGTAAAGAGAGAACAAAACTGTTCCCCATCATCAGCCAGGGGAGGTATGAACCAAGACAAATAAAAGGTGTTGAATTAGCTCAAAGTTCTGGGCATAAAAATGGACCAAAAAGCTAAATACGTATGCTTTTTCATCAAAATCTTGATTTTTTTTTTTTTAAAGGCTAAATAACATCAAAACTCTCTCAGCAAGAACAGGTAAGTGCAGCCAAGAAATATTTGAAACAGATGAATAACAAAGGGCAGCTTGTCTACCGGATATTAAAATATTATTCAACCCTCAATAATTTCAATGGGTGGTACTGGCACAAGAACAGACAGAAAGATCAATGGAACAAAATAGGAAGTCCTAAAACATACCCAAGAATTCTGAGCATGATGAAGATGGCATTTCAAGTTGGTAGGAAATGAGAGCTTAGTCAACAGACAATACTGAGATAACATACTATTTGGGGACAAAAAGTAAGGCTGAGATGATTTCTACCCTTTCTAGAATTAAGGGAAGAAATGGTACCTTTTTTTTGTTTTGTTTTGTTTTGTTTTGTTTTTGAGTTGGAGTCTCACTCTGTCACCCAGACTCGAGTGCAGTGGCTGCTCCCGGCCACCGCAGCCTCGACCTGCTGGGCTCCGGCGATCCTTCCACCTCAGCCTTCCGAGTAGCCGGAATTACAGGCATGCGCTACCACGCCCGGCTGATTTTTTGATTTATTGTAGAGATGAGGTCTCACCAAGTTGCCCAGGCGGGTCTTGAACCCGTGGGCTCAGGCAATCCACTCACCTCGGCTTCCCAAGGTGTGGGATTACAGGCTAAACCACCGAGCCTGGCTAGAAATGGTACCTATAAAAACCTCCACAAAAATTTCATCCAGGAAATAAATAACAAGATGACAAGAATTTTTTAAAAAGCCTCTACAGAGCAGTAGCATTCTGAGCTTTAGGGATGGGGGAACAGGGTGACCTAAAACCAGAAAGGGAAAGATACAGCTTGAACTAGGTGAACAAATTATTTTATGTTTATTTGTAGAACCCCAGCTACCCACCTCCCTTTCCTGCTTAAACCCCTCCAGTGGCTTTCTAATTCTTGTCGAATGAAACTCTAGCAGATCCGACACCCTCTCTTTTAATGGTCCTTGTGGGGTTCCTTTCCAAGTTGGTACCTGCCTTGGGACTTGCCAGCTCTTCCCTTGCCTTGCATGCTCATCAATGATATTCACAAGACTGGCCCCTCCTTACCAGGCTTCAGCCAAAGTGCCTCCTCCCCAAAGCCTTCCCCAACCACCTAATAGAGGACAAACCTGTCCTACTCACGCTGTTTTCTCCACAGCACTCATCACTAGCCGAAACCCTCTTTTTAGTATCTGTCCCTCTGACTAGAGAGCATGAGAACAAGCACCTGTACTGTCGTGTTCCTAACACTCAGGTCTGAACTCAGAGGGGTCATGTATGTATCTGTTTTACAAAGGGATGAATCCTAAGTATACATGAACACTGTCATGAATCAGGATCACTGCTATGAACCTAACAGCTAGCATCATGTCTACTCAGGGCTTACAGAAGAAGTTAGCCTTGGCTGGTGATCTGCTACACTCATTTGTTTTGTCTATTTTTAAAAATCTACCTGTCTGCTATCAGCTGTCACTGCCCTGCTATGTCTTGGTGGCTCCTATCTGCACCTCAAGCATATGACAGATCTAGAAGGTAAAAGTATATAACGATGGATCTGTTTTACCACTAAAGTGCAGTGACTTTAGTACACGGACAGACCATATCTCTTTGAATTTTTCAAAAGTTTTTTAGCCTCTTCTGGCTTTTAGGCAGCTGTTAGAAAGAGGTTGTTAGTTACTAGTCCCTAACTCAAAATTCTGACAATTTCAATTTCCTACACTATAGTGCCATACTACTAAAAGTGTTAGCATCTTTTTCATCCATAAGCCAAACAGTAATTTTGTTTAAAAAAAAAAAAAAAAAAAAAAAAACCAAAAAACTGAAGCCTGGTGCAGTAGCTCACACCTGTGATCCCAGCACTTTGGAAGGCGGAGGCGAGAGGATTGCCTGAGCCCAGGGGTTTGAGACCAGCCTGGGCAACTTGGTGAGACCTCATCTCTACAAAAAATCAAAAAATTAGTTGAGCATGGTGGCACATGCCTGTGGTTCCAGCTACTTGGAAGGCTGAGGCAGAAGGATCACCTGAACCCAGCAGGTGGAGGCTGCGGTAGCCGTGAGCACGGCACTGAACCCCAGCCTAGGTGACAGAGTGAGACTCCAGCTCAAAAACAAAGAACTGGAGTTTTTCCTATGAAAATGAATTTGCTTTTTAGAGGAAACGTAAAACTGAGCACACCCAGTTCCAAACTAGAGTTCCAAACCTTATGCTAGAAGACTCAAGCCTACTTGTTCAATGATCTATGCATGGATTTTACAATTTAAGAGCTCCATGTGGACTCTTGGTCCTGGCTGCAAAGCACAGCAAAACTGTAATCATAAGTTCCATCCCAACTGAGGCCTTCCCTGAAAGTTCCTTGACTTTTAGTCTTAAGGCTTAAATTGTCTTGTGCATCACCTGCAGTAAGTCTAAACACAGGGTGGACAGGCAGGGGATCCTAACTGGCAGGGTGGACCCACCCCCCCAGGCTCCAAGTACTTGGGCTTCTTCGATCCGAATGATAAAAGGCAATGTATATGAGAAAGCTGAAGGAGTGGCAGGATGCAGTGCTTCCTGGTAGGGGTTTTCCTTTCTTAGAAAGGCAGAGGTGTTACAGGGGGGAAAGGAAGTCAAAGGGCAACCTGTGTTTCTACTTTCCCCTAACAGTCAGCAAGAAAATAAACAAGGATATAAGATCTTATAGTCAAAAAAAAAAAAAAAAAAGATGAGGTAGATGTGGAAGCACCAGCTTTGAGAAACATTCCAAGTGTAAAACAGCAGTCCCAATTTGCATTACGTTCTCTGAGTATTGCTGGTGTACAGGGACCCCCAGTGATCTGTATATTTAGATTCTATAACCATGAAAGTGCACTTCTTAGGGGGAGGGGTATGGAGTCACCTAACCTACTATTTGAACTACTTTGGTAATTGCCCCCCAAATCGTGATTTCACATAGTGTGTCTCCAAATTGCAGTCTTGTGGATTTACTTTCGAAACCATGCTATAAACAATTTATACGGCTCATCCTCAATTTCTGATGCGGCTGTTTCTCTGGTCAAAAAGTATGATTCACATAAAATTCCAGGTAATGCATGGTAGATGTGAGAGAGAACCCTGAGCTGCTGGATCCCAAATTGCTTCATTCGTCTGTATTGGCATACTAAGCTTTCCAGCTACTCAGGACACTCCCTGGCAGAACATGGGCTCTCGACTTAAGTAAGGCCCTAATGGAAATGTGCAGGAATGGGGATCAAGCCATTCAAAGGGCACTCATACAAGACCACTCTTTCACATTCTCGGTCCTTTCCTCTCTGCCTTAAAGGAAGGGGGGATCGGATATGCTTCTCCCCTCACAACATCTAGTGCCTGAAAGTTCAGACTAGGGCTGCATTGAAAAGCTGAAATGTGGAGGTATTGGATATAAATTAAGAGCAAATAGCAACGAGCTTAGCCTTGCTTAGCACTCAATGATTGCTCTTACATTTCATCCCCAGAACACTCAAGCTCTAAAACCATTCTCCACATCGGTCTGCTCTGTGGCTGAATGAAACCCTATTTTTACCTATACAGAGTTTCCACACTTCACACATACAAGGTTTCCATCAAGTCCCTTTATTGAGTCTACAAGCATCTCCTAATTCAAATTCACTCCAATGCAAATATGATTCTAACCATGCCAGTCACCTCAAAATTAGCTCCCTTCTAAGGACTACATTCGCTAATCCCTTTGTTCAACCTGAACATGATTCCAGTCACTTTTATGACTCATTTGCTCATCTACAGGCCGGTTACTGGACGACACTGCATGACATGCATACACCGTTAAAGCGAACTCAGCAACACCGGAACAGAGTTTTCCACTGAATCCACCGAGGGCCAGAAACTGCTTTTCTCCAAGGCTCTCTCTTTACTCAACGGACCGGTGTGGTCCAGTGTGCACTCTTTTCATTTACAGGAGTGCCTCCAAGCGCCAAAGCTGAAAGTGTGATATGGAAAGACTCTGGAACCAGATTAGTTTACACGGGCTCTGGTTTTGAAAGGGCAAAGTTGTGCATCTTAGAGAATCAAATAATAACCCCGCTGCTGCCACTATCACGGGTACTGTGCTATGAGTTTTGCAGCAACCTTATGAGGGAGACCGATCAGTCGGGCCATTTTAACAAAAGAGAGCACTTGGAAAGCCATGTGCCTTGGCCAGGGTGAGAGGCACACCCAGAGGGGCCACAAGAGTCCATGTGACCCCAAAGCCCGTGCCCTGGAGCGCTGCGCTCACCACCTGGCCTCTGATCTCTGCTCACAAAGCCTGGTATCTCCCGAAAGGAAACCCCAGCCCCGAAGGAAGCCCAGGGACCTCGGGGCTGAGAAGAGGAATAAGGCGCGGGCCACCCGGGGGGGATGCTGGATGCAGAAGGCGGTGCCCGGGGATGCGAGGCTCACCTGTAGGCGGCCACGGCGCGGGTCTGCAGGTATTTCTGGGCAGTCATGACTCCCACGAAGAGAAAGTTCCTGTCGCGCAGGCCG